GGTACATCTCGGGTTGCATGCATCCATATTAGGTGCGCTTGGTATTTGATATCGTCTAGCTCGTCTTCTGTTACCATTAGGATGGGGTCCCATGGGATTCCTCGTATAATATCTGCTAGTTTTTCTCTAAACTCGGGATCTAGGACATATCTGTCCCATGTAGAGAGTAACCCGGCGATAGTCAGGTCTTTGGTTATTAGTCTGGCGAATAGTTTGAATCTTTCCATAATGAGCTCCCGGTTGTTCTGTATGAAGTCGGCGATTTGGGTTGCGATACCCTGACCATGGTACCCTAGGAGATGCCAAAATAGTTGGTGTGATATAGGTAGTTCGGCAGCGAAGTTCTTAACCCATAATGCGCTCGCTTGCAGGTTGCGTAGTGCCTGTGGCCAGGTTGACATCTTAATGATCTTAACCCCCCGAGTTAGGGTTTAAATAAAAGGTATTATAGGAGTAAAGGAGTAAAATTATAGGGATTTAAAGTACCAGTTTTTAAAGTGACAAGTACATAACATACATGGTGGTTCGGGTAAGTCAGGTGAACCGACCTTTACATGAAATTTGAAATAAAAACATCGTTCCAAGATGGCTTTGCCATCAGCGTCCATTACATAATATGTCAAGGGGTTGTTGGTTGTGATAAGGACAGGTAATCTATCCAGTCTTTCATCCTTTTGATGTTTCACATGGATATCAAATGCATTTCCTCCAAGTAATTCCTTGAAATCGTTAACCGTCAGTTGTGTGATCCTGGGTTCTTCCATCAAGGCTAGAGTCTTGTTGAGTAAATTCATCAAGAAAAACTGACTGTGGTCGCCTGATCTTTGTACTGTCCCATACACATAATTTTCGGCGACGAGTTTCACAAATAGTGTTTTACCAGTGGTTGTGGGCCCCTCGATCACAAAGGCATTCTTCCGCGTACATAGTTTGTTCATGACGGCGGTTAGAGATACTAGTAATTCCCGTTTATTGATGTTGTTGACTCGTATGAGTTGGTCCAGCCAGTCTTCTCCTTCTCGTGTGTCTGCCGGGTGTTGGCATGTCCGGCTGTGGTGATTGCTGGTGAG